ATCACTATCTTAAAATTATCAATTAATCTACTGCTTAGTATAAGAAACATTGATCATAGCCAATTCTCTGCTAAACTATTTTCTAGATTCCATCCTGTCCTGCACTTTTGTATCAGACAGGCTACTGCTCTAAATTAAGAGTTTAATATCTTAACTGGCAAAACTGGAAGGTGCAGCTATAAAAAGTGTTTTTTTTTTCATAAAACTGTTGTAGAATAAGTTTGTACTTAATACATATACTTGCCATAGCTGGATCATAATTAATATTCTCTACTTGCTGATTATTGTAAACTCTACCTGTCTGAGTACCTGTTTGGCAGCTTTTATAAACTGTCTACTGGAAATTGGCTCATTGTTCCCTTTAAGAATTTTACTTTGTAGCTCAATATCTCCCATAAGAATATTATAATTAAGGCTTTAACCATTGTATATCTAACTGAACGTTTGTAAACCATCCTCCTCTTAAGTTGCAAGTCTGCCTATCTAATAAGAAAATGGAAAAAGCATATTCTATTAATGGTGCTGGCATAACTGGACAATCAACACGTGGAAGAATGAAAATAGATCCATATTTATCTCTATGCACAAAACTCAACTTTAAATAAAGCAAAGACCTCAATATAAAACCAACCACACTGAACCTCACAGAAGAAAAAGTTAGAAGTACTTTTGAAGGCATTGGCGCATCTCAAACACAGCCTCAGTGGCACAGACATTGAGAGATACAATTAATAAATGAGATCTCCTGAAACCGAGAAGCTTCTTCCAATAAAAATATATGGTACAAGCCTAAACCAAAACTCTCAACAGATGAACCCAAAGTAACTGAAATAACTTTAAAAAATGCTCAAGCATAACGTCCTTAGCCATTAGAGAAATGCAAATCAAAACTCTGAGATTCCATCTTATCGCTGTAAGAATGACCAGGATTAAAAACACTGCTGGCAATTTATGCTGAAGGGAATGTTGGGTAAAGAAAAAACTCCTCCACTGCTGGTGGAAGTGCAAACTGGCACAGCCGCTTTGGATCCTAGTATGGGGATTTCTCAGAAAATTAGGCAACCATCTACCTTAAAACGCAGCAATACCAGTTTGGGGCCCATACAAAAAAGATGCTCAGCCATACCATAAGTATTATTCTTTTAAAGCGGGTAAATGTGAGTGGGTAGAGACAAGCACGGGACAGACAAAACACGCACGAAGGAGGAGACACAGACACGCGGCTCCCACGTGGGTACACTTTAATGGGGGAGGGGTAACACAGGTAAGGGACAGGTGTGCAGAGACACGAGAGGGTGGGAGAGAAAAGAGCGAAGGCTCGTGGGAGCTCGCTTTTAACGGGAACGCAAGGGTATCTGGGAGAAATGGCCTGCACCTGCCTGCGCCTGCGCGCGCTGGTGTCCGTAATCCAGGAGGATTCTGGGAGCTGTAGTTTCCAAAAGGAACAACAATAAGGACACGTGCTCAACTATGTTCAAAGCAGAATCTGAAAACAACCCAAAGTGCACCTCTTCTACACATATGATAAATGAGAAACATCACCCTTTACGATAGCCATAAATACCATAAAATATCTTGGAGTAACTCTAACCAAACAAGTGGAAAAACCTTTAGGAGACAAGAACTTTAAATCTTTGAAGAAAATGAAGACATCAGAAAATGGAAAGATCTCCTATTCTTTTGTGAAGGTAGAACCAACAAACAAAAAATGACAATCTTACTGAAATCAATCTACAGATTCAATGCAAATGCCCATTAAAATTATAGCATGATTTTTCACAGACCTCAAAAGAACAATCCTCAACTTCATAAGGAAAACAAAAACTCAGGTTAGCCTAAACAATCCTAAAATCCTGTACAATGAGGAACTTCTGAATGCATCACAATTTCTGACTTCAAACTTCACCACAGAGCCTCAGGACTGAAAACAGCTTGAACACGGATATGAGGATCAAAGGGACTGATTATCAATCAATCCCTCTGGGATATGAACCCACATGCCTACAAACAGCAGGTTTTTGACAAAGAAGCAAAAATTATGAAATGGAAAAAGAAGCATATTTAACCTGCTTGTTTATTTTTAATTGTCTTGAAGTTGCAGGTCTCTGAGGCTACCTTTTCTCCAAACCTGCCTTTCAGCTCCCTGCTGAAGCCAGGCCACACAGCGGGAGAGAGGGGGCAGAACGCAGGCTCCCCAAATCTGCCGGCCTGCCATCACAAGCTCTGGCGAGGGTAGGCAAGCCGATTTTAAACTTTTTTATTTTAACTTGTAATCATAAAATTAGGTGTGGATTGCGTTGGGTGGGCTACTCAGTCTAGGGGTTTGCAACCCACCCGCAATCAAGTTACTCCAGGGTCTCGGAGGGGCGCTACCTGGAAGTGATGAGCTAAGACAGAAGAAGGAGGCCAAGCAGATTTGTCAAAGCCTCCGTTTATTAGGGTCATGGTTGCTGCTTATATATGGTAAGGAATGGGGGGTAGGGTAACTGGATTCTTGCCGCGTGTTCCAGGTCACGTAGGCTAGGTTACAGACAGACAGACAGGCCAGGAAGTCACAAGTTGCCACACCTGGTTCCCTGGGTAGCTGGAATGTGAGGCGTATTCTGCTAATAGATTAACAGTTAATTGGATGAGGGGCAGATTCTGTCAATAGAACATAATTATGGGTGTGAGGTTCCCTGCAGACTCCCCAGGGTGATGGTTCCTGTAATGATAGGGGGAAATGGCTCCTGACAATTAGGAGAATTCCTGAATCCTCTCCTCTGTTCTATTGGCTGGCTCTGGGCTGCTGACTGTGTGGTCAAATTTGTTCTCTAAAGTTACTCAGTCTCCTGCTTGCCTCCCCCCCTCCCCCGCGCGCGCACAGGTGGGTTAGATTCAGCCGAGTCCTGCACCTGCGCCTCAATCTCAGCTGTAACCTGGGTGATTCTTGGGCCAAATGCCCTATTTCCTTACTTTTTCTACCCATTTAGCAAGCGACAAAAGTTGTATCTCTGCGTCTATCACGCTTACAGATTCTAAATATCTCTGCCTTTGTTTCTGTTCCACTTTAACTTCCTTCAGCTAGCAACATATGTATTTGAATACTGTTTCCTTATCCCATATATATAACTTATTATTTACAAATCTTTTTACTCCCAATTTAATTTTCCCACTTCTCTATACTTCTTGAAATACTCTTCTCTGTTTTTGAGCACTCATTACTCACATACCCGCCTGTGGTGCTGTTTTTTCTCCTGGGTTCCTCACATTCTCCTCCGTACAACTGGTCACTTCTCCGGCTTTTTGGGGAGATTCACCGATCAGCCCATGTCTGGGCGCCATTATGTCGGGGTCCCGTGCCAGTTTGGCCCCTAAATTATTTCTCCGGACCAGAGGGGAGGTGTGGGATTAAAGACACAACTCACGTGCCTTTCAGGAGGGAGATTCTCAGTGATCCCTCAGGAAATCCTGAGTTCACATCATGAAAATTCCTCTGCGTTTGTTCTCCAAACAGCCTTATATACCAAAACATAAACTGAGGAGGAAATTCATAAGCATCCTGTTTCCTAGGTAACCCGGCTGTGGTCATGTCTACACATCTGCCTATGCCTGCTCTGTCAAGTCTATCTTCCTGCTCTGGGTGCCAGCTCTGTCAAGTAGGCCTGAATTAGCTTCCCTATCCCAGGCATCTTCCAAATGACAAAGAAGGAGCAGAACAACATATTAGCATATCCTGACCCTTTGTTAGGGAGGTGACTATCTCCTGTGTGGCAGGTGCAAGCTAGGGCCTGGAAGTCTGGCTGCTATTCAATGTAGAAATACGGGCCTACGGTGAGTACTGTGGGTGAGTAACTGTGATGTGGTAGGGACCATTTTCTTTGTTTTTATCCTGGAGAGGGTTATTGTGTTCCTAATACGGGGCTCAGTGTCTTTGGCATCAAACTCACGGATACTGTCTCTTCCAGTACAAGTGTACAGTGCCGCACAGCCCTGATGTTGAGGGAAGTCAGGAATAATCCCCTTGGACTGGCAGTGTAACTTCCCCACATCTGACTTAGAACCTCAGAGTGGGACAGAAAGACCACAACCCGTTATCTCTGGAACAGAGTTTCCTTAATTGTCCCGCGGGCAGAGGCTCTGGTCTCAACTTCTCAAAAGATTCTTCTGATTTGCATAATAAAAAGGCAATGCTCTGCCAAACCTCCTCCCCTGTTGCTCAGAGCTGGAGCATCAGATGACTATTCCCTCACTGTGACAAACAAGTCACTGCCTGAGTAGGGCTGCTGTGATGAAACACCCGACCAAAGCAACCTAGGGAGGAGAGAGGGCTTACTCTGCTTACACATCCATCATCGAAGGAAGTCAGGACAGGAACTCAAACAGGGCAGGAACCTGGAGGCAGGAACTGACGCAGAGGCCTTGGAGGGGTGCTGCTTACTGGCTGGCTCTACCTGCTTTCTTATAGAACCCAGGGCCACTAGCCGAGGGGTTGCACCACCCGCAATGGGCTAATGGGCTGGGGCCCTCCCCTCTGGGTACTAAGAAAATGCCCTACAGCTGGATCTAATGGGGCATTCTCAGTTGAGGTTCCCTCCTTCCAGATGACTCTAGCTTGTGTCAGGTTGACATGAAACTAGCTGGGGCAGCCACTGTCTTTAAAACTGAACAAGTTCCAGGACAGGCTCCAAAACCACAGAGAAACCCTGTCTCGAAAAACCAAAAAAAAAAAAAAAAACCTGAACGATGAGCCAAAGCGTTAACTGAAGAGGAAAATGAATGCTATGTGCGGCTTTCATGCCTCTAATTCCAGCTCTCAGGAGGCAAAAACTGGACAATCTTCCTCTACAGAGCAAGTTCCAGGCCAGACAGAGCCACATAAAGAGGTCCTGTCTCAAAAAAAAAAAAAAAAAAAAAAAAAAAAAAAAAAAAAAAAAAAAAACAAAAAACAACAACAAAACCAAAAACAATACAATGAAGCAAAACAACCACCACCAAAATCCTAAACTTAGGAGAAAGCATACATTTTAATAAGGGGTTGCTTTTTAAAAACTTTATTCATTGTATCACACGCATCTGAATCTTTCACAAGCACATGTTATGTAAGTAAAATACTGCATTGACTAAAAACTTATTCAGTAAAGTGACCTATAAACCATGAATGCCCCAAACATGAATTTAATGATATCTGGCAGAAAACCGATCCCCATGAAGTTACTGAACATCAAAGTGTGACCTTGAACCTACCATGTCCACTAACAGACAAATGCACTACAATCTAGAGGAAGCTCTGCTCTGGGTACTCTGCAGGTGTCTGCCAAAGAAGGCCAGAATCTGCTTCCACGTATCTATCTGGGCTCTGGAGTGAGCCCTGACCTCCCCTCCCCAGTGAACAGCTCTGTTCACTATTTTGTGCAGAGAAGCTGGGCACATGGGGAAGTAAGGAGGCTCAATGTAATGGCCAGCCCCAGGGTAGGAGATTACTTGTGGCCTCTCCTTTCCGCTAGCCTGCAGCCTTTGCGAGGCTATCTGAGCGTAAAGTTCGCTCCTCCAGCAATGATCGTCCTGCCCAGCGATGAAGAGGATGGGCCCCTTGGCCTGCTCTATCGGGATCATACTGGGGTTCTCACAGCCGCCCACAGGATCGTTCCGTATATCCACAATGTCCAGAATGCCAGAGAAAGCCACCTTCACTCTCCTCAGGTCATGGCCCAGTGGTGGAATCATGGTCTGCTGGTAGTGTATGTGTCTGTTTCCGCTGAATGCAGAGCCATTGATGGAAACTGTGGCTGAGACATTCTTCAAGAACGAAGCCATGGTGAGGCAAATATCAGCTCCCAGAGAAAGACCCAGAAGCCCAATGTCTGGGCCCTTTACCTAGGAAAAGAAAAGAAGAAGAAGATGTAAGAGTCAGAAATGTATCTAGTTAAGTGTGATGAAAATGTCTACGATCTCAGCACTGTAAGTGGAGGCAGGAGGATCAGGAGTCTGAAGTCGGTCAGCTACATAGGGAGTTCAAGACCTGAGGGGATGACTTGGAGGGTAAAGGTGCTTGCTGCCAAATCTGATGGCCCAAGTTCAAATCCTGGGACTCCAAAGTGGAAGAAGAGAACTGATTCTTCCAAGTGATCCTCGTTCTACCTGTGTGCTGTGGAACATGCACACCACAAAAAAAGTTACTGAAAAAGAACTTACCAAGCACCCTAAAATGCAACTAGAAAGGCTGGAGAGATGGCTCAGTGGTCAAGAGTACTGGTTCCAGAAGATTTTGGTATGGTTCCTAGCACCCACATGGCAGCTAACAACCGTCTCTGACTCCAGTTTCAGGGGATCCATTGCCCTCTCCCGGCCTCTGTGATCACCACACGCATGTGGTGACAGACATAAATGCAGGCAATACACCCACACACACAAAATAAAAACAAAGTTTTCACTGCACCTGGAAAGGCTGCCAGCTCCACTCAACATCAGCTCACAGGGAACCTCTTTTTCTTTTTAAAATACTATTCCTTTTTAAGATGGATTTTTGTTATATGTCTAGGCCGTTAAAGTCTCAATCCTCCTGCCTCGGTCTCCTGAGTGCTAGGAATACAGTAGGTGCCACCATGAGGGCACAAGGGTCTTTCTAAATACTGAATATCTGCCGAACCCAAGGCAGACAAGCCTACACAGTCACGTTGAAGAATTGGCTATAAATGCTGAGACATGGGAGCCTGTCAGGTTCAAGACCTCATTCACAGTGAGCCTGAGCCAAGCCTTTATTTGGCTGTGTATTGAGTCATGGATGAAGCGATGATGCTCTGGCCCAAGATTTGAATCTTTTGTCCAACTAATACTGAAAAATAATTAATTTCCTGGACTTCAAAGTCCAACTTAGAAGTTCTTAACCTCTGAAAAGGGTGGGCAAGTTGGGGCTAAATTTGAGAGGAAAATGAAAGGCTATAACAATGAGAAACCTAATCTTCATGACAAGAGGGATTTTACAATTATGAAATGAAATTTCCCATGATTCTTATGAAGAATTCCACACCAGGAAGCTATGTGACGGAGAAAGGGGAAATGCTAGATGCTCAAAGTCAAGGAAGTCTCCCAAAGACACTTGGGCCATGAACAAAGAGCAGAGAGAGTCTTCCGCACCCCTGAAGCAGGCGACCACCTCTGCAGATATTCCCAGGGAGCCTGGCTAAACAGAGGGCATGAGGAGAACCTTGGGGTGTTGGAGCATGTAGCTCACTGCTTCCTCGAAGTAGTCCACTTCTACGACGGTGAAATCCTTAGGGAGGTCTTCAAAGTCATAAAAGGCCAGAGCCAGTGTAGCAAATCCATGGCTAGCCATAAGGCTGGCTCGGTATTCCAACAGGCCCCCACCAACACCGTAGACATCGATAATCCCTGGAAAGGGTCCTTCTCCTACAGAGGGGAACGGAAGGGCAAAATCATCACACAGTGCAGAGAATGTGTTTCTCTTTTGAAAAACCTTTCTAAATTGTTCTTAGTTGGTTTCTGTGGATCCCTGTGTCACTACTACAACACACACAAGAGCTTAGAGTTAGAAAAATCTAAGTAGTTTCATAGATGACTTCATCCTCTTATGGATTCCAAACTGTGGCCCAAGAACCACAAGATAGTTATGAGTGTGGCCCAACACAAAATCATAAATTTCCATGGAACACTGAAAGGTGTGGTTTGTGTGTGTGTGTTTTGTTTGTAAATCAATTGCACAGTTCTAGAGAATTGATGCTATAAATAACACCGTTCCAGAGGCTGATTCTGTGATAAGCTATTTGCACACTTGTACAAATCGGGTGTTGTTGGAGTGGAAAGTGGTAAGCCTTTGGGTAAAGAGTATGTATTGGAAGGAAGACTGGCAAGGTTTAGACTGTCCACTCCTAGAGTTCTGTTGGAGGGCTGCAGAGAACCGGAAGTGGGGGCGGAGAGATGGCACAGCGGTTGTGAGAGCTCCCTGTGCATACAGAGACTGGAGTTCATGTCCCAGGGCCCAGGACTGGGGATCTGACGCCCTCTTCTGGCCATCCATGAGCATAGAACACACAAAGCATACACACGGGTGTAATGTCCTGTGGCATTAAATAGAGAGAGAAAGAGAGAGAGAGAGAGGGAGAGGGAGAGGGAGAGGGAGAGGGAGAGGGAGAGGGAGAGGGAGAGGGAGAGGGAGAGGGAGAGAGAGAGAGAGAGAGAGAGAGAGAGAGGGAGGGAGGGGGGGGGGGGGGGGGGGGGGGGGGGGGGGGGGGGGAGAGGGAGAGGGAGAGGGAGAGAGAGAGAGAGAGAGAGAGAGAGAGAGAACGTCTACTGACAGAAAAAAAAAAGAGCTGATTCTTGGAAGGAAGGCACTGAAGTTTGAAGTGTGATCTGCGATCTGCTGTGGAGCTGGGCATGAAGAAGTGACTGCGTGGATCAAGGAGAAGAGAGAAAGGCAATGTAGCAGTCTCCCTCCTTGTCTATTATTTTTCCTAACCATGCTGCCTGGGGAGATCTGTGGGGTAGTGAACTGTACCAAATCCGGCCCCGCTGGAGACACAGGCCTGGCGCTGGCGCCCCTCTACATCGGACTCACCCACCTGGGGGCAGGAAGAGCGTGGCGCGCACACGGCCCTCGCGCACGGGCACGCGCCGCACCCCGGGAGCCATGAAGTGACGCTCGTGCACCGCCCGCGCCAGCAGCCGCCCGCCGTCGGGCTCGTGGCCGTCCAGCACCTCCAGCTCCACCACGAAGGGCGTCTGCACGTCGCGCTTGATCAGGCGCCAGAAAGGCCGATCGGGCTCCATGGCCCAGAGCAGCCCCATGGGCTCGAGCCCCGCGAAGCTGCCGCCCAGCGCGGGCGCGCGCGCCAGGTCCAGCTCGCCGTGGGGGTCGGCGCGGTAGCGCGCGTGGGAGCGGAAGAGCGCGCCTCTCTCGTCGCGCAGGGCGGCGCGCAGCGTGACGGGCTGCTCGGGGGCCAGGCCGCGCACGGCAATGCTCAGCGGCTCGTCCCAGCAGCTGCAGCCCGCGGGCTCCAGGCTCAGCGTCGCCGCCATGGGGAGCTTGGAGCTGAGCAGGAGGCCTAGGGAAGCACCACACCAGTCCGGAGCCGACCTGGTCGGTCTCTAGGACCCAGACAAGGGAGGGGCAGGAACAAAGGTCTGTCAGCAGTTTGGGTCACAGGGAGGCCAGAGGATTCTGCTTTTCCCCACTCCCACGTGGTGTTGTGAAAATGACTGGTCATGACATCAAGTGAATGAATCAAGACAAAGTCCGATCCTTCCGTGGACTCAGCAGCTTTCTAAAATATAAAACAAAACCAACAGCGAAAACTTGGTAATAAATTATAACTTTATACCATTTCATTCTTCAGATACTGAGCTTGCAAAAATCCTCCTTGGATACTCCAGCCCCAGGAGAGAAAGTATGCAAACTGAGAAAGGCAGCCGTATCAGTTAGGGTTCTCCAAAAGAGTAGAACTGAAGGGATGGACACACACGAGAGCGCGGACAGACGGACACACGGAGGATGTATTAGAGTGACTTAAGGGCTGTGTTGTAAGCAGTCCAGCAATGGCTGTCTCCCATGGAAAGGATCTGGTAGTTGTTCAGTTCACAAGACTGGATGTCTCAGCTGTCCCAGTCTGGTGCTGGAGTCTCAGAGAAGCTCTAGAGAGCGGCCATTTCAGTCCACGGTAGAATCCTGAAGAAGTTGGTTCTAACTCCAGGGAAGGAGCGACTCAGGGACAGGATAGACAGACTTGCCAGTGAGAGTGGGGACAAGCAGGCAAAAAGCAAAAGCTCCCTGTTCCCATGTCCTTTAATGTGGGCTGCCACCAGAGGGTGTAGCCCAGATTTAGGGTGAGTCTTCTAACCCCAAAAGATCTGGATTTAGGATGCATCTCCCACGTCAAATATTCCAATCAAGAAAAATCCCTCACAGGTGTGCCCAGTTGCTTGGGGTTTTGTTGATTCCAGATACAGTCACCTTGACGGCCAAGATTAGCTCAACAGCTGCTTTCTCTCTCCTTGCCCCGGTGCCCAGTTACAAGGGCATACAAATGGCTCTGGTTCAGGAGGGAGATGCCACTGAGGTGATTGCATGGGCCCCCCCCTTTGCTAAGGGATACTATTAAGAGTGACTTGGGAGATCTAGAGACCAAGCAGGTGTCCAGGGAGCCATAGGAAGTTCTCCGAAGTCAAGTTGGCTTCTTCCAAAGTCCCAGTGACTTGATAAAATGGCACAGCTTAATATTCAGATGGAGAGATGGTTAAGAGCTCTGACTGCTCTTCCAAAGGTCCTGAGTTCAATTCCCAGTAACCGTGTGGTGGCTCACAACCGGCTGTAATGAGATTTGGTGCCCTCTTCTGGCCTGCAGGGATATATGCAGGCAGAACATTGTATACATAATAAATAAATAAATAAATAAATAAATAAATAAATAAATAAATAAATAAATATTCAGATGGTTGATGAGTGAGTTGTGGAGCGATCTGGCTTGGGTTTAGGACATCCCACTAGATACCTAGTAAGATTTTCGAATTGAAACATCCTGAAGCAAAAGTGCAAAGGTAAGCCCCTGGCTGCCCACCGAAGCAACGTCCATGTGGAGAATGTACTGGGAGCGAAACGAATGTCTGCCTAGGTAACATCAGTGAAGCATTAGAGGGAAATGGTGGGAACCATTGTTTCTCACAAGTCTCTGTGCTGGGCACTCACAGACCAAACCAAGTGTAGAAATGGTTCTCTGCATTGAGAGCCCATCAAGCTGAACTGAATTGTTTCTTGAGAAACTGGAGAGATGACCACCAGAGTCCCGAAAGGGGAAGCAGGTGGCATCCAATGAAATCGTGTGCTTTCTCCTTACCCGGTTAATCCTATTATCTTCATGGTAAGTAATCTAAAGTTAGCCATTCCAGTACTTTTTCTTCTGTCCCCCTGACTCTACCTAAGAAAAGACCTGTAAAACAACAAATCCTGTTCTCATTCTTCAGTTTTGCTTTTACTAGACTACCTATGAAAACCCACCTCTTCTACCCAGCCGACGGGAAGGAACACAGTAAAGAATGAAGGGTGCCCTGGTTCTAGAGAGTAAAGTCTTTCAATTGATATAAGCTGTTCTGTGGCAAAAAGGCCACTATCGGAGTGATTCTGATTGCTCTTATAAACGCACAATGTTATGCTACCCCTCGCGTGTTTATGGGGGGGGGGGGTCATATGTGTAAGTGTTCACTTGTGTGTGCAGAGGCCAGAGGTTGGTGTCGCTGTTACCGTGACAGGTCCCCTCACTGAACCTGGGGTCTGGCCAGCTTCCTCTGGGATTGCCTGCTTTTGCCTCTGGAGTTCTGGGATTACAGGTGGGCTGACAGCCTACTGGGCCCTCCATGAGTGCTAGGCATCCGAGTTCCAGTGCTCATGCGCTCACTGCAGGGCACGATCCAGCCCTGTCAGCCATTTTTTAACTCAAGACCGTTAACTTTTCTGTGACTCTGAGATAACTCTACGGTATTCAGATTTTCTGATAAGCCAATGGAGAGTAAAGAGGAGCGGCTAGAGAAGGGCCCAGGCCTTGTCCTGCTTCATAACTCTGTAGCATGAACGACACAGGAGAGCTCAGCACGGCTCCTTTTTAGCAGCCAGTGGATTACACTTCAATAAATGCTTTCCTCTCAAAGAGACTCACCGTCAGTTCTCTGTCAATGGTAATCCTGGGTGTGGATCTTTGTCCTGCGGTGTGGAAGACCTTAGCATTGTGGGAAGTCTGATCAGAGTCAGAGAGATCGCCACCATGTGTGCAAGATTTGCGAGGCTGAAGAATAAATTGTCAAAATAAAGAGGTGACAAGAACAGGAAAACACAATACTCTCTAAGAGTGATGGCTGCACCCGAGAGGACCCTTAAACTTGTAGGATTAGTGTGATCCTTCCTCCTCTGTACCCTCAAAGGCAGCTCTTAAAAAGATGGGGGTTGCTAGGTCCAAGCCACTGGACCTCCAGTGGGAGTACATTTATTAGTTGATTCTTCTCCTCTGAGGCTCCGCCAATCTTAACAGTGAGAACCAGACCACTGCCACAATTTTAGTCAACTCTGAAGCAAGCTTGATTTTTTTTTTTTTTTTTTTTTTTTTTTACTGCGTTGCACCTAAGAGCTGGCCAGTGATTGCCTCCTAAGTCGGGTTAAAGAGAACAGCCCCGAATCCATTTCTTGGGCCCTTTTTAAGGAGTAAAATCACGAGTAGTTTTACAGAAGAGAGACAATGAGGCAATCAGAAAATACAGAAAGATCTTTTTAAAACTATGTGGTCACCACGTTAAGGGTATTCAAGATCAAGTCAAGGTCATGGGATGGGCAAGGCCGCGTTCCAGGAAAGAGGGCAATTCAACTCTTGCAGGAAATAGAAACTTATCTTCAATACAGCATAATGGCTCCTGCCTTCAAAATGGAGTCAGTCAGGTCCTCAGCTCCTCATTAAAAAGGAGTCAGGTAGGTTCCTCAGCTCTCCATCAAAATGGAGTCAGGCAGGTCTTCAGCTCCTCATAAAAAAGGAGTCAGGCAGGTCCCTCAGCTCCTCATCAAAAAGGAGTCAGGCAGGTCCCTCAGCTCCTCATCAAAATGGAGTCAGGCAGGTCATTAGCTCCTCATCCTCATTTTTGTTGCTTCTTTCCTTTTTTTTTTTTTTTTTTTTTTAGTTTTGGTTTTTCTACAGTGAAACAGTGTTTCTCTGTGTAGTACTGGACATCCAGGAACTCAACCTGTAGACCAGGCTGGCCTTGAACTCACAGAGGACTGCCTGCTTCTGCCTCCTGAGTGGCTACTGGGATAAAAGGTGTACACCACCACAGCCAGGTTTCTTGTTTTTTTTTTTTTTTCTTTGTGGTGTTGGAGCTTGAACCTATGGCCTCAAGCATGCTAGGCAAGGCTCTACCACCGAGTTATCCAACCCTCACACTTATTCTTTAAGGGAGATACACGAATCAGGTTTGTTTGCCTGTGAGCTACACAGTTTATTAATATAGCCAAGTGGTGATGGCGCACGCCTTTAATCCCAGCACTTGGGAGGCAGAGGAAGGCAGATCTCTGTGAGTTCGAGGCCAGCCTGATCTACAGAGCTAGTTCCAGGACAGGCTCCAAAGCTACACAGAGAAACACTGTCTCGAAAAACCAAACATAAAATAAAAAACATCAAAGACAATAGCAAGGTTGCCTCTGTGAAGGACAATTAATCAAAATAGGAGTTTTCAAAAAAAAAAAAAAAAAAAAACCAAACCAAACAAAAAAACCCACTGGCAGTCTGGGTACAAAAGTCATTATCCTAACAGGACCCCTCTGACTCTCTTTCCAGAACCTTGATCTTTAAGTCACCTAGTTGAGAGCTTGCCAAGACCTTTGTCCCTGTTTCGGCCGTTACACAGGTTAAGAGAGTAAATGTTACACGGACCATTGATTACTTATGCAATTTTATTGGATAGCCAATAAACATTGCTACACAGCCTGACCACGAATCTGTATTATAATCAGAACAAAGCAGTGACATAAAAATGTTCTATTTGCTGGATTATCTATCTTGTCTATGTGTCTCCATGTCTACAAAATCCTACAATCTTGGGTCATAAAAATACCCATATTCATCAAGCACAGGAACAGAGCGTCTAATCTCTAATATCACGTTCAAGGGCTTGGAGTGTAGATCAACAGTAGAACCCAAGCTAGCAAGTACAAAGCTCTGGGTTCTGTCCCCGGGACTACAAATTAGAAAGGAACATAATAAATGTCTTTGAAACTATTCATGGAGCAGCCTGATTCCATCGTAGGGTAAAAAGACACTTTGTTAAAAGGCCAAAATACGCTGTTTCTGTTTGCTACAAAATTCAAGTTTGAGGCACTGGGACTCTACCCTGAGGAGAAAAGGAGTTCTTACCAGGAACCTTGACACATTCTGCCAAGATGATCTGTCGAATAATCAAATCGGCTATGCGCTTCTGTAAAATTTGCTTGCAAAATCTTTGTTACAAAATCCCCAGTTTATTCTTGTTCCCTATAAAAGGAGGCCTGTACTCTCAAACCCCGCTTCGGAGAGTCAGTCCTATGCACAGTAAATAAAACCGGCTTAATTGGTTTTGATTTGGGTGGTGGTTCCTGTTCTCTCTCAGTAGGATCAGCACTATACCACACCCAAGTTCTGCAAGACCCCCTGCTCTAGACTTCAGACTGGCCCCTGTGTCCTGCCTTTCTCCTGAACTGCTTCGTTAGAATAAGATAATTGCATATTCCCTGTGATTTCTGAGTATTTAATATTTTCCTTAAAAGTTGAAATGTTGTGGAACACTTCAAGGTAAAATTCAAAGAGCCCATCTGCACCCTCACCATAGTTCTAGGAATACACAGGGCTTTGTGAGTTCCTTGCCTGTCCCTTGCCATGATTCACGTCTTGATATTCAACATGTCCGCTCCCACTACCCATGATGCCCTAATGCAGTTTCTCCCCTTTCTCTTGCAGTAGTGAAAAGGAATGCTGGGAGAAACGTCACACAGTAGCAAGTGTCCGCATGAATAAAAGTCTGAGAGACTCTACAAAGCGTAATGTTTGCTTTGGCAACCAAGCAGGACTGAAATGTGGATTCCTGTATGAATACATTCCATGACAAGATCAGGTTCTTAGGGGAAATGGGGAGATAAACGATATGAGATGATTTGAAACAATTATTCTTACCCACACAGGCTAATAGCAAAGGAAGGGTCAGGGGTCAAGGAGAGTCAAAGGAAAGTTGCTTGATAGGTATTCTTAACAAGTTATTATTGTTGGTCATAGTAGCGTTTATTCTGGAAATATTCTATCTGCATTTACAGAGGCCTCAAAGTTCTATCCAACTCTTAGGCTAGTATCAGGCTGTTGTGTGTGAGAGTCCTTTCTTTGTGACCCCCAATTCTGTGTAAACATATATTTTGTTTTGCTAGAATTAACAAAAGCAACTCTACCTGGGTTCGGAGCATTTCCACATTCCCCTGTTGATCGAGCTCATTCTATGAAAACACCAGTGATCAACCATGTGGTTGTTTGTCAGGGTTTGACTGCCTCTCGTGGGCAGGATGGGCCTCTCCGGTTCACTCTGTTCTCAGGTCAGGTGAGGTAACCGGTGACTGATGGTAAATGTAAAAACCTATACAGCTTCATTAGGAGCAAAAAGCTTTAGGGATGGTTCTGCAGCCAAGTTGATCTGGATCGACTTGCAAGCAGTGGTCAATTGAAAATAGCTTCTTTTCTTTTTTTTTTTTTCTTTTTGAGACAGGGTTTCTTTGTGTAGCTCTGACTGTCCTGTAACTTGCACTGCCTCTTGAGTGCTTGAATTAAAGGTGTG